ATTTTTAATCGGAAGACCTTGTCCATCATTCGCTGGTACATTGGCCCCAACATTTTTCAAATCGAATGGAATTACGTTGTAGTAATAGTTGCCCGACGAGATCATGAAAATGGTGTATCTCTTGTCCTTTTCTGCCATGGGAATTTGGTTATATCCTGAGTATGCATCCATGAGGGACAAGAGTTTAAAACTAGCAGAATCGTTTACTAACTTATCAATGTTGGGCAAGGGGTACGCGTCCTTCAAACACGCCTTGTTAAGATCAGTATAATTGACACACATTCTCCACTTTCCATTATGTTTTTACACAAGTAAAATGTTAGAAAGCCAGGTGGTGTACCTAGCCTCCAAAATAAATCTTACCTCTAGGAGGTCTTTTACAAATTTTTCTGCAACTTCGGCCTTCTCATTCGATTGTTTATGTAACACCCATGGGCGAGGGAGTGGTTGTTGGTGCATGAGACATGACAATGAGACACTCCTAGCAGCTTCTAGGGAAAAACCAAATTCACATTAAAATGAGATGGATCCTGAGGCTATGCAGGTATGAGACTTCATGGTTGAATGAAGAACTTATAAGGATTAATTGATACTACCTATACTAACAAGATGCATCTTCTTTTCGGTAGCCCGTTCATAAGAACTCCATAGTTAAACGTGCTTCACTTGAAGAAATTTAGGGATGAGTGACCTTCTGGGAAGTTTCCCAAAAAGCATGTGAGTGAGGAAAAAGCATGCTGAAAAGACCCGTGTTGGTTTGTGGGGTCAGTCGGTAATCCCGAAAGCAATATAGGGTGTTACAAATGGTCTCAGAGCCATACCTCTCCCAGTACGATGTGGGGGGACGAACCAAACGGAAGCTGGTGGACATGTAACACCCGAGGTCGAAGGACTGGTTGTCGATGCATGAGGCATGACAATGAGACACTCCTAGCAGCTTCTAGGGGAAAACCAAATTCACATTAGAATGAGAGGGATCCTAAGGCTATGCAGGTATGAGACTTCATGGTTGAATGAAGGTTTATAAGAATTAATTGGTACTACCTATACTAACAAGATGCATCTTCTTTTCGGTAGCCCGTTCATAAAAACTCCATAGTTAAGCGTGCTTAACTTGGAGAAATTTAGGGATGCGTGACCTTCTGGAAAGTTTCCCAGAAAGCATGTGAGTGAGGAAAAAGCATGTTGAAAAGACCCGTGTTGGTTTGTGGGATCAGTCGGTAATCCTGAAAGCAATATGGAACGTTACAGTTTACATTTGTGTTGCGCCACTGCTCGAGCAGAGGGATCAATCGTGAGTTGATGCATCCCTTCAAGAAGCTTCGCCTCTTTTGGTGTATTGCTTCAGATGATCCTCCTTGATGAGGATCTCAATTGTGTCCTTCAAGTGGACACAATCTTCAGTAACGTGCCCGTGACTACGATGAAATCGACAATACTTGCTATGATCAGTGTTGCCTTTCGACACTATTAATTTAGGGAAATAGACTCCTCCTTGTTTGAACTCAGTGTTGATGCACCCCAAAAGGATGCGCTTGTGGGAAGCTGTCAACAAGGTATACTCAGTAAAACGATCATCATGTACTTTATGATCACTGGGACGGTCATCTCATCGTTTTCCTTTATCGCGCCGGAGAGCTTCTGCCTCATCCTTTTTTGACGCCTTGCAATTCTCTTGGTTCCTCAGAACCCGAGATTTGTAAGCAGCTTCATTTTCCTCATATTGCATGTAAGTTTGGGCCTTGTGGAAGAGTTCAGCCAGAGAATGAGGCGTTTCGATCCCCACTGCTTAGCAAAAATCACTATTTGGCCTTAGCCCCTTTTAAAGGAGGTACTTCTTCATGTGGTCGGTTGTATGAATCTCGACTGCTTCCTTGTTAAACCTCTCGGTGAAGGCACGAAGGGGTTCATCCTTACCCTGAATTATACCTTTGAGCGTGGCTTCCGATTTGGGATGACACTTAGAGGCAATAAAATGTCCGACAAACTAATTTTTTAGGTTTCTCCACGATGTGATCAACCCCGGGGAAGAGTTTTGTACCAGGTCATAGCTCCCTTTCTAAGGGTGATGGGGAACAGTCCCCACTTGATTGCTCCACCTACATTGTGATAGTGAAACATGGCTTCGATGTTCTTTATATGGTCGCTGGAATCCGTAGTGCCATCGTAGAGAGCCAGAGGAGGAGGCTTCTCTAGCCCACAAGGGATACGGGTGTTCATGATTTCCTAGGATAGAGGCCCATGCACATCGTCTTCATCACTGGTGCTCGACGATCTGTATAGAAAACAACTACGAAGAGGGCTTCTGTTATGTCGAGAAGAATGTTTACGCCGACTTAGACGCTCACGAGGTTCCTCCGAAGCCCTGGTCTTGGGAGTTGAAGAATGTCTCGTCCTTCAGAAAGAGATACGTTTCTTCGTGATTTCTTGCCCTGATTTCTCCAATTTTGACTGTTCCTTGATTGGAGAAATGCTTCGAGACTCGTTTCCCTGACGTTTCTGAGAGAGAGAACGAGAACGGGGAGAAGTACCGTGAAGTCTCCACGGGGAAGGTCGTTCTTGAAGTAAATTTTCCAGCATGTGGATCTTCTCGCCCTATTGGAAAATCATGTAGTTGGATTCTTTGAGGGCGGCGATGAGAGTCGCAGTGCTGAGATCAGCGTCTTGAGGAACCACGATGGGCTTGTAGATGTTATCAAAATTTTAGATGCGGGGTTTCACGTTGTTAAAGGACGGAGAGGCATTCTTTCCATCCCTGTGATCGGTCTTGTAGACCATAACTTCAGGATTAGGGTTATCGCTGTTATCCAAGGCGACGACGATGACAGAATCTTGAAGGACATCATTATTATGTTGAGAGTCCATAACGAACGAGGAAGGTTTAGAAAGAAAAGCTTTGGTCTTTAAATTAAAAAAGTTGGAGATCTTAATTCAAGAAAGACGGGGGAACAAAGTTTCCACAAACGGCGCCACCAATCTGATATAATCAGAATGGATCGTCGTGCCCTTCAACGTAGGGCAACAACGGTGGTTGTAGGAGAGAAGGGGGTGTACCTGCAAGGCACTCCGATGCTAAAGTAAGTAACAAGGAGAGAAAAATGCAAGTACAAAGTGTTTAGATTTGTGTTAGAATAAATTAGATACCTGACCCTCTCAAGTGAGGGGGTATTCATAAGAAACCCCCAGCGCGGGGCCACCAATAAGAGACTGCCAGGTTTGCGAGAAGTAAGGAAGATTTTAGCGTGTGATCTTCAACTTGATCCAACTGTCCTCGAAGATTTCAGAGGGACAGTTGATCGCGTGAACTGTGAAGCGCGTGAGGGGGAGGTCCCCAACGGCTATAATGCTCTAACAACTATATTCTCCTCAACGACTATATTGTGCCCAACGATCATATTGTGCCCAACGATTAGATTGTGTTAATCTCTTTATTGAGTCTTGTCTAAAGCTAAACTGGATTGAATCGTGTTCATCTGTGGGTCACATGTCAGTCCAATCCAGAACAGACATCTTCGTAGAAGTCTGGATCGACACGGTTGTATCATTATGAACAGTTACCATTGTCTTAACATCATCAGTGATGACAACATCTGACTTATCATCACGATCTATGGACTGATCAGATATACCTCCTCTACGATAGAGAGTACATGATATCCACGAGGCTGATCAATCCTCCTGCGACGAGATCGATGGAAACCAATCTACTCGTCCTAATTTGTAAATAGTTGTCACCACCAAAATTCTCTACAACATGTTTCCCGCCTTAGTCTGCAAATGGCTGTCTCTACCAAAGCTCTCTGCAACAAATCTCTAGCCTAATTTAGGTATAAATTTTCTATTTGTTCCTCTTTTCTTCACTAAACACAAAAAACAAACAAATTAAAACAATACTATTAGCTATCAGTTTTTTGAAAAATTCAGCCACACTATGTATGTGGCATAACTTTAATATCGACAATTTTTTAAAAATTGTTATATTGTATGCATTTTTACTGATAATTTATAAACATTTGGTATGTAATATGTATTTTTATCGGTGATTTTAAAAAATCTAGTAAAAACTTCGTGTTATACTGAATTTCTAAAAAATTACGATATAACTGCATCAGAAAATTGATTTATATCGGATATTTTTTTAAAAAAATCAATATAATCCCATAACTTTAATATCGGCTATTAAAAAACCGATAGAAAAACATCCTTTATGTATAAAATCTAGTATTATAATAAAAAATTCGGTAAAAACATAAGTTGAATGAAAAACACTACTTATAAAAATTCATACATAACAGCAAATCTCCGAGGCAAAACAATTTTTTTTTTAAATATCTAATTTTAAAGTGAAAATTGATTTTTTATGACTTAGAAATATTATGATCAAATTGTTAGTAATGTGGAGATTGCGGTAGTAGTAGATAGATTTTTCTTATCTTTGGAGGTAGCAGGTCCATTGCTCTTCGAAGTTGTTCATTCTTTTATGACTTTTAGGAGTGTTAAAAAAAAGATTAGAATCAAATCTGTATTGTACATACAATTTTAAAACTAAACCTAGTAAAATATAAACCAAATCGAAAATAATTGTATAACAGGTCAAAAAAAAAAATTGTCTTTTAACCACAATACTGAATAAATTGAAAATTTTCAGTTAGCCCCTTATTATAGTTCGGTGCAGTTAACCCCTTTCATATGGTGACAGATATTTAAAATTGCAATCTTCTTGTCTTCAAATTAGTTACTATGTGATATTCAAAAAGCAGGAGAATCTTCAGCCCATAACTTATTCCACAAGAAGTTTGTTAACCATCAAACTCAACATACAAACCGAAACAAATATTTTCAAAGCCAAATTTAATACACAAAATTATGTTACAATAAGGTTATGTCATAAACACATGCAAAGATATGCATAAATAACATAACTCTGAAAAACCAGTATAGCCTGAAATGTACAGAAAGAAGATAACACACGACTGTGATTGTTGCTGATGCTGCTACTGCTACTGCTCCGGCTCTTGTGATTGTTCTTGTATTTCACCTTGCCAAACCCAAACAATATCTTGAAGAGCAGGCCTAATTTTCTCATTTAATATTTTCTGATATTCCAAGGTATCTCCATTTGATTTCTTCACTTCAATCAAATGGAAAAATGGAGTAACCTCAAATATCTCAGCATCAATAGACAAAACCCCTTTCCTACCTTCATCAACTCCCTCTAGTTTCAACAAACCAGCTGCCCTTTTCTTTATTTTCATCTTCAGTCTCTTAGCAATCTCCTCCAGCCTTGAAATGATAACCGAGGCGGGTTGCCTTGAAGTAAACCTCGCTTCCCGTTTCTTAAAACTATCTTCAAAGAATCCACCTAGATTAAAACCATTAGAAAGAGAGATGATATCAAAAGCATTTATACTCATCGGTACAACTGACTCTTGCTTTTCAATTTCATTAGTCACGTGTGTCTGGGTCGTGTCAGGTGACACGCCTTCAATGAGAAGTGTCGATGCTACAGAAGAGATACTCTTGTTTTCCGCTTCATGTTGTTTCGGTCTACCATTCGGTCCATACTTAAACCAAGAACATTTCCTAATCTTATCTATAGAAATCCTAGTGCTAGGATTCGGATCCAACATCTTACACAACAGCTTCCTAACATTTTTCGCAAACCAACTAGGACATTTAAACTCCGCATTACTTATCTTCCTATACATCTCCATCAAATTCGAGTCATTGAAAGGCACATAACCAGCAAGTAACACAAAGAGAACAACTCCACAAGACCAAATATCGGCTTTCGCACCATCATAACCTTTCCTTTTGATGACTTCAGGAGCTACATAAGCCGGCGTTCCACAAGTTGTATGCAACAAACCATCTTGCCTCTTGGACTCGGCAAAAGCACTTAAACCAAAATCCGATACCTTTAAGTCCTCATTTTCATCTAACAAAATGTTTTCGGGCTTTATGTCTCTATGATACACACCTCTACTATGACAGAAATCAACTGCACTAACTAGTTGCTTGAAATACTTGTGTGCAGTATCTTCTTTGAGCTTTCCTTTTGCCACTTTCTTGAATAATTCACCGCCTCTCGCATATTCCAAAACAAAGTAGATCTTACTCTTTGTAGCCATGACCTCAAAAAGCTGTATAACGTTAGGATGTTTTACGACTCTCATAATCGATATCTCCCGTTTTATACAATCAGCTTGGTCATTCTTTATAACCTTGTCTTTGTCAATCATTTTAAGAGCTACGGTTTGGTTAGTTACTATACTCCTTCCATAGTAAACTTTTCCGAAAGTTCCTTGGCCTAGTAATCTTCCTAACTCATATCTTTGCATCAACACTTTCGATGTATCATCCATATCGGAACTTAAGTTTAAGAGTTGAACAAATAAAGCACTTCCTCAGCTAGTCAAAATTTCTCAAATGCGAAAAAGGCGATTCTTGTAAGGGACACCGAGGTTCAGGATACGAACCCTGGAATCTAACATAAGCATTAACTAACATTTTGATTATTCAAAAACAAAAAACCTGGGGACCAATGCATCAAAGATAGGAGCGTATGATTCTCACTTCTCAGAGAGAGACATTGAACACATCCTCTAATGCAGAATTATACTCCTTGGTGTGTTTTTCGAATTCTGAAAACCAAAAACAAAACAAACATTAATACTCAAATCAATATTACTTTTATTCAATAATTATACATGTAAAGGCCACCCGCAAGACCCGCGGAAAAGGCCCAATAATAAATGCTACAGAAAAACACACATGGAACAGGTGAACCCTCGGACAGAGGAACCCGACCTCCATCACATCTCTCACAGTTGAATCTAATAGAATGGCATCCCACATAAGGCAAGTTTACTCACTCACCTTTTCTTTCCATGGGTGTTATATAGTCACTCACTGACTTGGGCAGTGTTAGAGTAGAGTTCTAATCTTGCATGTCCACCCTCTCTCTGCCTCACTGAAAATCCGATAGACCACACCGAGCCCGAAAATCCGATAGACCAGACCCGAGCTCTATTTCCTCACTTCGTTACATATCTCTAGTTCTCAAACGGAACAATATATAAGAATTAAGAACTTGCAGGTTATCATGTATAAACAACATTAAGAAGCTGCAGAAAAAAATTCAAAAATAAAACATTCTTGCTAACTAGTGGTGAACTTAGAGCACCATAACATGTGTGGCCTAGTAGTGAAAGTTTCACTACTTTCAGGTTTCCGGTTCGAATCTCGCTGGCGCAAGAACAAGAATCTGGTTTTATTACACTAGATGGAATCAGCTCCATATATCAAACTTAATAAACTCAAATACACTGAAATCATCACAAAAACTAGAACTAAATCAAAACAGTACCAATTATCCATAATCAAACACAAAAAATAAACCAGAATTTAAAATTAATAAATAACAGAAAATACTGGAACTAACCTTGAGAGTCGAGAAGATGAACGTTCATACAGAGAACAAGATGAAGTAAAGTTTAAATATCAAACTTTATTCAAATGAAAATAAATATAATGATTAACTATTAGCATTCATATTTTAAAGCGTTATATTACGCTTAGTTGTCAAATTAATTTAAATATCATCATCACAAAAGGCAAGATGAAAACAACGAAACATTTCCATAAAAAAACGTAACCAAACACGTGTAAGGCTATTAATGCGTGAGTGCAGCTCATGGTAATGATGGTGAGGGGCATTGATAATCTTGCCACGTGGCGGTTTGTAGTTTTGTAAGAGATGGTACCAGAAAGGACCACTGTAAGACACGGTTAAAGCATTGCACCGTCATGCTTGCACGTGCGAGTGTAATACACGTGGCAATGTTTATCTGATTCTCACGTGTTACCGTTGGGAAGTTCCGTTTGGTTAACAGGTTTTTTTTGGATTGGACTGGTTTGAAGTGACTGGACGCTGAGTTAGTGCTCATCCTGAATAAACATAAAAAGAAAAGAAATTATTAAATTAAAGCGAAAGATAGTTTTTAAAGTTGAAAATTGAATGTATTTGTAGTTGTTTTGTATGAAATTATTAGTGTTTCTAGAATACCTTTTTTTTGGTTATGTTTTCTTTTTCTTTTTCGCTAAGTTACAAACCGAGACCGCTAAAGAGAAAAATACAAACCACGAGTTTTTAATTTTTTTTTTCTTTCTAAAAACAAATGGATTGAAAAAGAATATTAGGGGTATTTATTTCCTAGTACAAGAGAGTATCTAGAAACAAGAATATTCCTACCAACACTAAATTTTAAAAATATTCATACAAAACTCATGGAAAAGGAGAGTTTGTGTGGTGAATGTACTCAATACACTTCCATTTTCAAGAGAATTTTAATGTTCGAATAAATATCATTAATATTACACAAATCTCCTTCGAACATGAAGTAATTTCTTTTTTTTAAATGTACAAAACCACCGCTATTTAGATAGAGGTCAACTTTTCAACATTTGAATTCTTTGTAGCTACTTCTCTTTTCACACAAAAATTTCAAACACAATCTGCATAATAGACGTTGCTCTCACACCAGTCGCTAATCATCTCCCAGATTTTTTTAGCAACCACACAATCAAAAAATAGATAATGCACTCCTTCTAACTTTAAATTACATAACACACAAATAAGATCCACCAAAAGACCTCTTCCGATTAAAAGATATCTTGTTGGCAATCTAAATCTAAATAGCCTCTGGCCAAAAAAACCTTATTTTTGCTGGGATTTTCGCTTTTCACAAAATTTTAAATTCATTACGATGATCCAAAGATAACAGGTTTGCCTCCCTATTTTTCACTAAGGCCTGATATGTTGTTTTGATAGTGAACTCACCTGAATTATCCAAACTTCATCGCATAATATCGCGAGTTTCAAACACAGGATTTGCAGCAACTATTAATTCCAATAAAATGCTTAATCTATCCAATACAGCTTCATCTTGTTACAACTTAATTCCCAAATCATTCCAATGTCAAATTCCATCGATCCAATCCCCCATAGATGTCACTGCCTTGTTAGCTAGCAAATTATTTTGACTAGGAAAAAAGAAGCGAATCAAAAGGAGAAACTTTGCATCACAAACAAAAAAGCGTCGAAATAGGCTGACGTCACCAAAGAGGTTCGACGGTCGAGACAGGAAAAAGGACATATGGGCCTAGTCGAAGCAAGTTCGACGGACAACCATATAGATCGAAGTCGAATCCAAGTTAACACAGACAAGTTTTGAAAGCAGTTGATGATAATGTGAGGAAGTTACAAACAAAGTGGATGTGCATGGATGGACGCGTGACAAACTGTGAATAGTCGACGGCAAAGCAGCAATTATTTTTATGCCTATTTAAGTAGAATTTAGCCTCAGCTCAAGAGGTCGCATTTTGTAATATTGCAAAGAAAACACTCAAAGTATCAGCGTATAAGATAAATGATTTATTTCTATACAAATGTATGCATGCGACCAACTTATATTCAAACAATTTACTTTATAAGTCTTTTTCAATTTACTTTCCTTTCCAGTTTTTGTCTTGTTTTCTCATTTATTTATCTTAGTTGCACTGACGCAGATTCATTCAATTCCTTGTCTACCATTTCAAATTCAAGCACTTAAACAACTATTCCATACTTAACACAAAGTCTAGGATTTTGTAGTCGATCCTGCAAGTAACATATAATATTGCTAGAGATTGTTCGCCAAAAATCTGCGCGAACAAATTGGCACACCCGATGGGACGCGTTGTGTTAAGTATGTGAAATTGCGTAGTGGTAAGAAAATGGTAGATCAACGAATTACCAATCCAAACGAGGAGAAATTCTCAGGAGGAAATACAATTGTACCACAAGTAACTGATGTTGGTTCTAACACTATGGTTGTGGTTTCAACTGCCCACGGTGGACCAATATTGTAACCGTGTCGACCTTAAACTCCAAGACCGACAGTGGTTGGAACCTTATGGCCATATATGCCCAGTTTCATAATGCCCATGTATGGTAGGGATCAAGGCTTTGGAATGCCAACCGAATTGATGGCAAGTATACATAGTAGCGGTTCAGCGTTTGGCGAAAATTTATCCTCAACGTTCTCACCTTACCTGGATTAGGACTTATGGAAAACCAATTCGGTTGAACCACATGGATAGGGTTTTCATCTCAGGAAATCCCAACTTTCACCTCATGTTCTGTCGCAGTTATGAGGCAGCAGATGGACGAAAGTAATCACGAAATTGTCCATATGCTAACTCAGCAAATGGGTACCATACTTAGGCCATTAATTGAAGATTCAACTCAGAGTTACCAACACCTGGTAACTCAGATGACTCGAATAGATGATTTCTTAGGTGCTCCTAAGGCACAATTTTGACAGACGACCCCACCTCTACCAGAGGTACCAGTCCAACATGAGGAGAGGTTCGACGAGACAATTGGCCAAGAACCCCGGGAGGTCAAACTAATACCTAAGGTGGTGTCACGGTGAAATTCGGATACCAAACTATTGATTAGTTTGAATCTTTAATTCATTTTACAACCGAACTTTGATTTGTCCAAAGGAAGGGATAAATATCGAAATACCCACAATGCAATGCAAATGCAAGGTTTAGAGAGTTATAGGTTCGGGGGTCGGTTAAACTTAGGGAAGGTACTAGCATCCTAAGTTTCTGTAGTACTCTACAGGAACCTCTTGTTTTATATTGTTTGTTTACTGCTATGTGTTTATCTGTTTAAAGGATTAGAGACCCTAGTGGTTTATTTCTAAGTATACTCGATAAGACATCGCGTCTTATGCCTACATATCCTTACGGGAGTGGAATCAGAGTATTTGTAGTTCCCCTAAAGGTTAGAGGAGTTCTTTGACTATGGTCAAAGTTCCTACGGGTTTAGGGTAGTTGTTTTGATTGGGTTTAGGAGAAGAGATGAGTCTTCATGTTAAGGGAGAAATAACCACCACAAGTGTAAAGGGGGTTGTAGGAAAATGGTCTTTGCATCGTCTTAAGAAAAGGCCTTAAGTACTCGGATTGTTTGACGAGTGTGCCTTTATCGCTCTTAAGGCAAAGTCCCTACATGTTTGATTGTATTGTTGTGGGGGTGGAGATTATATCTCACTTAAGATGATTAACATCTATTCTCTATTGTGTTTGAAAAGTTGTATTGTTGATTGTTTGTTTGTCTAAGTTGTAGAGATAATGGTCCTTCCTATGGGGTAGGATCTATCTTAAGCGATCAACTTGAATGGAATCAAGGATCGAAGGGAATATGATGCAAATGATGTGCAACTACACACAACGTTGAATTATGTGTAGGTTTTTCCTTTGGACGAAATGCGATGCGTAAATATAAATTGCGGTAAATGTAAATGACAGTAAA